ACATTTTTAAAGACTAAAATTAAAAACAAAACTATATAAATAATTTATCTGTTTGTAGTGGGAGAATTGAGGATTAAAATAATTTATTTAAGATTGTAAAATTAAAGTGAAAATGGGCCTAAGCCTATAAGAAAAAAAACAATGGAGAGTCAAAGCAATCTAGCGACTAGGAGAAAGAAGGTAACGATGAGAAGAAGACTTTTCACTCTCTTTATCACTGTAGAGCTCAAAGAAGACTCTTCACTCTCTTTACCACTGTAGAGCTCAAGCTTGGAAGAAGACGACTCTTATATGTGAAACTACATGTTTGTTTTATGCAAGTGTTCAAGGAAAGTGACTAAAACTGAAATCATCAAAACTANATTAGTTTCTAATCAGAGATAAGTTCATCTTCTAAGAATGGGATGGTTCTGTGGACAATCACATTCATAGGAGCTCCTCCAACTCCATAATCATCTTCAATGCAGATTGTAGCGTAATGAGANGAAGCAACCAATTCGAGAACCGCAAACTTCCATGCTCCGATTCTCTCCTCCGCCTCGCAAAGATTGTAGCTTTCTTTAGTTTTGATGATTGAAAAGGTATTAAAAGGTGAAGCAGAGAAGCCTTTTCCTAATGCTTTCACATATGCTTCTTTGAGAGTCCATAGCTTCACAAACTCTTTTCTCTGAGCCTCAGTGTCTGTTATAGTTGACAAAAAGTTAACTTCTTCACAAGAGTAAAACCTCTTTGCAAGTGATAACACATCATGTTTCATCTTCCTTCTCTTGTCTTCAACATCAAATACCAATCGGAACGTTTACTGTAACTCCACAAGCTATTAACGAATCAGTGTGTGAGATGTTGAATTGCAGTTTCGGATGGTTAGTATCATCATTGTCCAAATCTACAACTTCAGGCTTTCCATACAAATTCTTCTTGAACTTCAATGACTTTGGATCCACCACAGTAGTGTTGTTGTTGTTTGTCTGATATCTTGCAATGGTGGTTCGGACCAAGGTACGAGCAAGCAAAACATTCTTCTTCTTTAGCTCATCACTACGCATACGAAGAAGATGATCTTTCTCTGATGGTGACAGAATCTCAGTGTAGTGTTCTAGTAGAGATTCGCTCTCGATCTCATTAGGTAATATATACCAAAGATGAGTTTCCATGCGAGTTGGAAGTTGCAGAGGAATCAGTGAAGACAACATCACACCAATTCTCATCAATTAAAAAAAGTTTTTTTTTTTTTGGTAAGAATCCCTAAACTCCGGGAATACACGGCGGTGTCGCCGCCGCCAAAAGGTGTAGAAAATGGGCCTGGCCCATTATAGACACAATTCGAGGCCTGTATTGTAATTATAACATTCAAATGTAATTTTTTCTAATTTGGTGGC